TCATTTCAACCCCTAAATCCACCCAACCGTCGACGAAACTCCACTCGATCCCCTCGATGACCAAAACCCCCATGAAATTGTGACCGATCGATGTTTCGACGGCCAGAATCGCGTGGGATCGTGATTTTCATCATAGGGTTCACGGGTATAAAACGTTGATTTATCATCGATCGTCACATTTCATGGGGGTTTTGGCCGCCGAGGGAGGGAGGTCGGGTGGAGCTTCGTCGACGGCAAAAGGTGGCAACCGATATGGGTTTAGGGATTGAAATGAAGGTTTTTAAAGTTTTAGGTTTATTTCAACTTTTTGTTTCTTTTTAATATATATATATATATATTTTTTTTAAATAAACTTTTTAAAATTGCCAGGTTGTGACATGTGTCACTTAACGGCCAAACTTAATGACGTTGATAGCCCGAGCACCTAAATGAGTAATAGAATGAAACACTAAATACCAAATTGAAACGAAATAAACGTTAGACACTAAACTAGAACCAAAGGTATAGGTTGGACACCTTTTGTATATTTAAGCCATTAAGAAATGATTCAATAAGCCGAGAGAGTTCAATGGCTACCTTTTATTAAGGGTTGGTAGATATGGATGGAGACCAATTTCTTAATAATTTTTGTAGAAAATAATTTCACGAATCTGAGTCAGCATTGCTCTCAATACTCCACAAAAATCAAGTTCGCAATACGTTGCTTCAGAAATAATTATGGGAATTTTCTCTGCATATTTTTAATAATATTTGTTGAGTCAATCTTTTGTAGCTCTGTTTGTCGGTTTTTTATTTGAAGTCTGACTAAGAAGTTCAGTTTATTGGTGTAAAAGTCGTGAAAGTTGATTTTTCCTTATTATTGATCAAGTATTTAGTAGGTTATACGTCTTGTTTATCGAGGGAGTCGATTGTAAGTTAAGTAGTCTCAACTCGTATTTGTTAAAAAAAATTGTTATTCAAATCAACTCGTTGTTCATTAAACTCGTTAAAATTTTTCGATTCGTGCTTATTAAAAAAACTTGTTACTCAGCTCAACTCGTACTTGTTAAGCTCATTGCTTTTCTTATTGCTCGTTAAGCTCAACAGAATTTTTAAAATCTACTAATACTATATAAAGCTTAATATAAACGTAAATTGAGAAATTTAACCTAAAAATTATCAAAATAGTATATGAAACAAATTCAAAATCTAAAATCCAAAATAAAAATCCATAAATATATTAAAATAATAATTAAGGTTTAATTTTTGGGTGTAATAAAATAATAATTAATAATTAATAATTTAGTATTTTTATTAGAAAATTAATAGATTAATCATTTATGATCTATTAGTAAATTAGTAAATTTTTTAATGAAATATTTTTTAACATAACTAGTAAAAAAATATTAAAAAAATTAACGAGCTGCTCGCGAACTTATCGAGTCGAGTTGAACTTTGTTCGACTTAGCTCGTTAATGAAATAATCCTTGTTTATATTTCTTATATTTTGTAAATTGACCCCTTAAATTTTTATTTTTTTCTTTACAGATTTCAATTAACATCAATTCGATCCTTAACTTTTAATTATTTCTAATTTAATCCTTTTTAATTTGAATTTTCTTTTATTCCTTTTATTTACTTTATTTCAATCCTAATACTAACTCTTTGTTTTTATTTATTTTATTATTTAACTTTATTTTTTTTATCTTTTTAGGACAATTTTAATCGATCAAAGGTAAGTAATTCGGATCGAGTTTCAAATTTTAATTTAACTTTTAATTTTCATAATTAAGGCAACCGATAAATTAAATTAGTACCGAAAGGGCAATACAAGGGTGTTAATTCTTCCTTGACTGTAATAGACAGTTTTTTGGTAAAACGCAGATCATGTAAATTGATAAATTGAGGTATTTGATTAACCTAATCTTAAATGATCGGTGGCGGCTCCATCACATCAAAATTAAGTCGAAAACAGATTTCGGATCCACCCGAAAGACGGTCACAATATTTTAGAAGTCGAAAGCCCGGAATTGGAACTTGTCCTTCCAACATACGTTTCGGGAAGGCAATTTTTGTGCCGATTTTCTTTCGAAAATGGGATGCTTTCTTGAAGAAGAGTTGATCATTTTTTATTCTCCTCCCTCGGAACTTCTCCTTCGGCTTGAAGCGGATGCTCGGGGTACTCTATTTCCTAGAGGATTCTCCATGAAGTAGGTTTACTTGTCTATGTTTTCCCTTTGTAACCAAAAAAAAAAATTACGTGTTTTGTCAACATAATATATAAACGAAGGGAGTATGATTTTACTCGAAGGAAGTTGGTCAATTATTTTTCTAAACTCCATACGGCAGTCATCGACATCTCGATCAAACGCGGCGGCCATTGTTTTTCCACTTCTTACATATTTTTGCCTTTTCCCCATGACTTTTGATTCCATACTTCTTCACAAAATAACCCTAATACGTCGCGTGCACTCTTTTCGCTTTATAAGAATCCAACTTTATGTCTTTTAATCTTTTTTTCTTAAAACAATAATGGCCGACCCTTGTTCTCATATGTAATGGGATAAGGGGAGGTAAGATAGTAGGCTGTCCCCAATATCAGGTTGAGAACAACTTCCGTAGGAGACCTCCGAATTATGAATTATATATAAATCTTTAATGCATATTTCTTGAAATTACAATAAAAACATTTTACAAAAATCGAATACGAATATTATGAAATCTGATCTAATACAAGAGATGTTAAAAGCGGGCGAGAAATAATTGATCGTCTAGACCATCATATCATTGGCTTTTGTTGTTTCTGTTTTTCACTCTTTTTGACTGGGAAAAATAATGAGACAAGAAGGTGTGTTGATTATGGACATCAAAGACAACGCTTTATGAAGAAAACATGTTTCTCTGAGATTCATTACATCCTAATAAAAATATAATCGTATATCGAAGAGAGTTAAATTATTTTATATTTTTTTGGTCCAAAATAGTTTAGGTCAATGGAAGTTCTTCCAGAATCAGGGCATACTTAAAACTCAAATGAGATTTAAATAAGAATTTACAGATTGCTCATAAAAATGATGGTGATAGAATTCGAACTTGACCTTATAAGTTCAAATTTCTGATTTCTAACCACTTATGCCAACACTCGTCGGCAGTTAAATTATTTTATATTAATATTTTCCCTATGTCTACCAATAATCATTTGATTAAGTGGGGTGAGATACTAATTCTTTAAATAAAGTTAAAGATTCGAACCTTAGCATTAGTGAATTGAACAAATTAGGGCGGAAGGGTTGGGTTTAAATTAATCAATTAATAGATTAGATACTAGTACTTAATTCAAAAAGAAAATATTTTCCCTGTCTCTAAATATATCCATCAATTTATATATGGTAAAGAAATTATTATTATTTCTTAAAAATCCGGATTGGAACACCATAAATATTAGAAATGTAACCGTTCAATATCAAAAGATTAAAAATAATTTATAAATAGCTTAAATTTTTTTTTAAAAAAAAGGTTTAGAGTAAATATGTACGGCTTGTAATTTAAAAAAAAAACAGTTCATGTTCACATTGGGCATTGGCCGACCAATGTTGATACTATTACACCGATGAGACCTGAAATAAAACAAACAAAAGATACTCAAAAGTCTACTTTTGATGGAATCGGAAATCGACAGGCAACTTCAAGCATCTCTGTGCTGGCCCCATCTCTACACTTTGACCAGTGTGGGTTTTTGACCAATTCCTTCGTTTGCTTGTTTTTATGGTTTAATGCTGACGTCAGGTCCATATGCTCTTTAAAATCATGAAATTTAGTCTCCCAACTTTTATTTTTCAACAGTTTAATCTCTTTGAGACTTTGGCATGTCTAAACTTTGAACTCTAGAATCCAACTGACAACATTCTCAATGGATTTTTGTTAGATTTAAATATGTGACATTCTAATGTTTAATTTTTTGTTTTTGAAATCAGATAGGCGAAGTGACTAAATTCTTAAATTCAAAATAAAATTCAATAAATTTTAAAAATACGGAGAGTAAAGGACGGGAACACAATTAGACATGTTTTAAAACCTTTTTTCTCTTATTTTGTTAGCATAACGTTAAAATAAACCCTCAAGTTTACTTAAATGATCACTTTAACCCCTATATTTTGAGCATTCCAACGTTTCGATTTTTAGTCAAAATGACTCATGTTGGATAAAAATCATTAATTGACTAACAATATGATATTGACGTGACATTTTTACATATATTTTATTATTGACAAGATACATGTCATATTATCACTTTGAGTGATATGTGACGTCACACATAGTCTTGAATAACATGATACATGACATATGTTTTATTATTGTTGACGTAATATTTTTATATGTATTTTATTATTGACATGATACATGTCACATTATCACTTTAAGTGATATGTCACGTCACACTATCACTTTGAGTGATATGTCACGTCACACATCTTGACATATAAAAATTTAGTACGTGTGAAAATATCATATCAAGTACTTAACAACAACAACAACAAACCCTATTCCTAATATGTAATGGGGTGAAAGACCTCCGATAATCAGAAAATTAAAAATAAAAATAAAATATCAAGTACTTAAGTTGACTATTAATCAACTAATAATTTTCATCTAATAATAATTATTTTGATCGAAAATTAAATCATTAAAGGCTAGAGTATTTCAACATAAAATATATGTCAAAATGGTCATACGAGTAAAAATTGGGACAAATTTTGGCATTATGCCTTTTTCCCTACCAAACGTCGTGAAAATCTTGATTATATATGTGCCTAACTGTTCCCCCCCCCCCCCTGTAATTTCCCATGAACTTACGTATCTTAATTTTCAATTTTAATGGCTGATCATCTGGTATCCATATCTCTCCACGTGAATCGAGTACAAAATTTCTAACAAATAAAGCTGCCTTCATGGAATATGACATGCTTTCTATTGCGTTCCCATTTTCCACTCTTTCTCATTCTCAGTAGCCTCTACACCACCCTTCACAGACCGCCATGTCGGTCCGGCAAACCTCCCATCAATCGCCACCTCCTGTGATCATCTTTTTCCTTTCAGTCATCTTTCTTATTTCTCGTGCAAAGGCCGATGAAGTGGAGATATTGCTCAAGTTTAAATCAGCTGTAGAAAGCTCAGCGTCGAATGTTTTCAGTTCATGGAAACAAGGGAACTCTGCATGTAACTTCAGTGGAGTTGTTTGCAATTCGAATGGGTTCGTCACCGAGATCAATCTTCCCCAACAACGAATTCTGGGATATGTTCCTTTTGATTCAATCTGCGAGTTGCAATCACTGGAGAAGATTGATGTTGGGAACAACTCTTTCCATGGGAAAGTTTCAGATGACCTGAAGAAATGCACTCGCCTGCAATACTTGGATTTGGGAGTCAATAATTTTTCTTGGGAAGTGCCGGATTTGTCTTCTTTAAATGGATTGAAGTTCTTGAATTTGAACAACAGTGGATTTTCCGGGATTTTCCCATGGAAATCGCTGGAAAATCTCACGGAATTGGCTTTCTTAAGCCTTGGTGACAATCCGTTCGATGAAAGTCCGTTTCCACCGGAAGTTCTGAAGCTTGAGAAATTGTATTGGCTTTATCTAACCAATTGCAGCATCACAGGGCAGATTCCTGAGGGAATTCAGAATCTCAGTCTGCTGCAAAATCTTGAACTCTCCGATAACAGATTGTATGGTCCAATCCCTGCTGGAATTGGGAAACTCAACCAGCTTTGGCAACTTGAGCTTTACAACAACTCATTGTCTGGAAAATTACCTGTTGGATTCGGAAACCTTACGAATCTTAAGAACTTCGATGCGTCGATGAACATGCTCGAAGGAGACTTATCGGAGTTAAAATTGTTGGAGAACATTGCTTCGTTGCAGCTCCTTGAAAACCAATTTTCAGGAGAGGTTCCAGCTGAGTTTGGTGAATTCAAACACCTTGAAGGGCTATCACTATATAGGAACAAGTTCACTGGTCAGCTCCCTCCTAAAATCGGGTCATGGTCCGATCTTCGTTTCATAGATGTTTCGGAGAATTTTTTGACAGGTCCTATACCACCAGATATGTGCAAGAATGGCAAGATCGTTGAGCTTCTGCTGCTGCAGAACAGCTTCACTGGCACTCTGCCGGAGAGCTACGCAGACTGTAAGTCGTTGGTTCGGTTACGAGTCAACAACAATTCGTTGTCGGGGACTGTCCCTGCTGGAATATGGAGTTTGCCAAATCTCTCCATACTTGATCTTACCATGAATCGATTTGAAGGTCCAATAACCGATGACATTGGTAATGCCAAGTCTCTTGCACAACTATTCTTGGCCAATAATCAGTTTTCAGGTGAATTGCCTCCTTCGATCTCTCAAGCTTCATCGTTAGTCTCGATTCAGCTTACTTCAAATAGATTTACCGGTCAAATTCCAACAGCCATTGGAGAATTAAAACGCCTAGGCAGCCTTTATTTGAATGGTAACATGTTTTCCGGTGTAATACCAGATTCATTAGGCTCTTGTGTTTCTTTGAGTGAATTAAACCTTGCAGGTAATTCACTTTCAGGGAACATTCCTGAGAATTTAGGATATTTACGTAACCTTAACTCCTTGAATTTATCTGAAAACAAACTCTCTGGAGAGATTCCGGCCAGTTTGTCATCTTCAAGATTAAACCTTCTTGATTTGTCAAACAACCGGTTGGTTGGTCCCATACCGAAATCTTTATCTATTCAGGCTTTCAAAGATGGCTTTGAAGGAAATCCGGGCCTATGCAGCTCGGATCTTGAGAACTTTCAGCCGTGTTCATCAAATGCCGGTCCTAGATCAAGTCATCTTCCAACGATTTTATCCTGTTTCATAGCTGGAATATTAGTCCTGCTTTTATCACTAGGATGTTACATGTTCGTGAGGGCGAAGCGGAGTAATCTTGATCGTCCATTGAAGCAGGGATCTTGGAACATGAAATCATATCGCATGCTAAGTTTCACTGAAAAGGATATCATCGATGCTGTCAAACCGCAGAATTTGATAGGTAAAGGGGGATCAGGGAATGTCTATAAAGTTGAACTGGGAGATGGCAAAGAACTTGCCGTGAAGCATATTTGGACCTCAGATTCCAGCAATCGCAGAAACTACCACAGCAGTACGGCTATGCTAACACCAAGTAGCTTCCGGTCACTAGAATACGAAGCGGAGGTGGCGGCATTGAGTGCCATTAGGCATGTGAATGTGGTGAATCTGTACTGTAGCATCACGAGCGAGGATAGCAATCTGCTGGTTTATGAGTATCTACCAAATGGGAGCCTGTGGGACAGGCTGCATTCATGTAATAAGATGGAGATGAACTGGGAGACGAGATATGCCATCGCATTAGGAGCCGCTAGAGGGTTAGAGTATTTGCATCACGGATGCAATAGACCGGTTATACACCGTGATGTGAAGTCGAGCAATATTTTGTTAGACGAAGAGTGGAAGCCGAGGATTGCTGATTTCGGACTCGCAAAGATCGTGCAGGATGGCGGTGGAGGGGAATGGACTAATGTTATAGCTGGAACTCATGGTTACATGGCTCCTGGTAAGTTCCTTTCCTTTAGTATTATTTGTTCATGTGATTCAAGCAAAGCAACTTACATTGAAAAAACTTCTGATTTGGTTTTAATTGCTGCATAATTTTCTGGCAGAGTATGCATACACAAGCAACATAAACGAGAAGAGCGATGTTTACAGCTTCGGAGTCGTGTTGATGGAGCTGGTCACGGGAAAAAGGCCGGTCGAGCTCGAATTTAAAGAGAACAAGGACATAGTTAACTGGATCTATACTAAACTCAGGACCAAAGAAACTCTGGCTGAGGTAGTTGACTCTAACATCTCAACGGCATCAAAGGAAGACGCCATCAAGGTGTTCAGAATCGCGGTCCACTGCACGGCGAAGATTCCGATGCATCGACCTAGCATGAGGAAGGTGGTTCAAATGCTAGAGGAGGCAGAACCTTGTAAACTTACTGATATCATTGTTCACAAAAAAGGTGAAAGTAGCCCCACTGAGGAGTGGAAGAACAATGGCAAGTTAGTCTAAAGCTCTTGAATTCGTCATCCGGTAACGATTCGAGATTGATCTTCAGAACCCTGAGTGAGCAGCAAGAACTAGGAAGCTTGTTTTTCGTTGGCTCATAAAAGAGAGCAAGGTCAGTTTCCGAGTTTCGAGTGTAGTTGCAGAAGAAAGCTAGGTAGCAATAGCAGGTGATAAAATCGACAAGTATGTAGGTGTTTTTCGTCTTCCTCCTTGTAATATATTTGCACCAGTAATCTCACACGAGCATGATGTAATCCTTCAAGGATATATGTATACAACAAATGCTATCTTTTGGGGACAAAATGCTACAATCATAACATACATAAAAGGACTAACTTGTTATTTTTTGAGTGGCCATTTTGTAACTTTTTTAAGTTGGAGGATTCAAGTATTTATTTAATTTATACAAGGATAAAACTATGTTGCTTTAACAAAGTATAATGTATTAGAATTGGTAATTATCAACCTAAATGGTTCATTAATTTTATCATTCCAATTAAGACCATTATTGAAACTTAAGGTGCGTTTGGTTCACAGAATGTAAAATTATCAGCGGGAATGTAAGATTATCAGGGAATAGGATTAATGGGAATGTTATATTTTGTGTTTGGTTGGCTTAGCAGGAATGTAATATTACCGTGTTTAGTTAAAGGAATAAAAGATTATTTGAATGTATATTTGACCAAATTGTCTTTATTATATATTTGTGTGGAAAATATTTATATATTTTCTATAAAAAAAAATTAAATTCATAAATTTATATAATTTTTTTACAAAATTGAAAATATAAAAACGTTTAATGAAAGGGTAAAATTTTATTTTAACCCCTGAACTTCATATAAAATTTTAATTATAGACTTTTTTTGTAAATCTAAAATAGTTTAAGGATAAATTTATAATTTAACATTCTTAGAATTTTTATTATTCAATGACAGAAGAATGATATTTTTTTTTTAAAAAAAATTAAGAACATTTTAGTCCAAATATTTTCGCGTGCACTCTTGTTTTGGTCATCGAACTGCCCATTACACAAATTAGAACCCAATTATCCAAACCCGTTTACACCAAAACCAACAAGTCCAAATATCCATATAACAACCCTTAACCCAAATCCAAGTTAAACCCAAATTTACATGTAACTACCCATTCCCTATCCATAACCCAACAACAATTTGACCCATTTACCCAATTACAATAAGAACAAACCCACTACCCGTATACCATTTACAACCTTAACCCCTTTACAATCAAACCCAAGCAAAGACCTATAGTCGTAATATCATTTTTTAACTTTTAATAATCGAGAGATTCAATAAAATAATACCTTCTAATCGAAGAATCATTTATGTTCCTTACCAAAATTTAATTAAATTAGACATTAAATAATAAGTGGAGTATTAAGTTTTTTTTTCAATTTTAAAATTTATTGCAATGAATAAAATTAAAACTATTAAATTAAAAAATTATATAAAAAATACTTTTATAAGAAAAGTATTTTTTATATAATTTTTTAGTAGTTAGATGATTGCAAGCAACAATGAATAGAGTGAATAGATGTTGATTTTCTTATTTATAGGATTGATTATATATCATTGAACTTTTTTTTTCAAGAATGTTTTTAATATGTTAGTTTGACGTATTTGTGGATTGTTACTTTAGTTTTCATATGTTAGTTTGGTATATTTGTGGATTGTTATTTTGGAGTTTTGACTTTGAAATTACTTCATACACTCTTTTGATAATTTTTTGGTTTAATTTTGTTAATTTATGTTTATATTAAGTTCTATATAGTATTAGTAGTTTTTATCTATAGTTAAAAAATAAGGTAAAATTTCTAGTGAGTTTAACGAACAACGAGATTAACAAGCAACGAGTTGAGCAATAAGTTTTTTTAACGAGGACGAGTCGAGCAAAACTATAACGAGCTTAATGAGTAACGAGTTTGGTCGAACAACAAAATTTTTTAACGAGCACGATTCGAGCACTTCCCAACTCACGATCGACTCGCTCAATCAACACCCGTAAGAATATTCCATTAAATGATTCCTTAGATTGATTACGTAACATTTTTTTCTCAATATAGAAGATATTATTAAGGAAACATATGTTCCACGTGTCTGTTTATGATTTTCTAACAAAACAAACATAGGATGCACCAACATATAAGATAAGTTATTTGTTCATATGTCTCAATATTATGAGAAAATGGGAATTGAATTTCCACTAACAATTTGCCTTGTTGCTTTGACCGTTGCTCATTGTTAGGTATGGCTCATAAATATACCAGTAAAGTACGGTACAGGGTTGATTTTGTAATTATGTACCAGGGTTTTCTATTATAAATAGAGATGTAACCTAGACCTAAAATATCATTGAATAAAATTCTAGCGCCGCCTAGGCACCGAGAACGTAAGCACATTGCCGAACCTCGTAAAATTCTCGTGTTCTTTCGTTTTCTTTACCCGTTTTCGTCAACAATTGGTATCAGATGTCAGGAGCAAAATTCGAAGTCGCGAAATTCGATGGTCAGGGTAACTTCGGATTATGGCAAACGAGGGTGAAGGATCTATTGGCGCAGCAAGGGATCTTGAAGGCTTTGCGATCTACAAAGCCGGCGTCGATGGATGAGGAAGATTGGGAAGAATTGCAGCAGCGAGCGGCAGGAACCATACGATTATGCTTGGCGGACGAGGTCATGTATCACGTCATGCATCTATCGTCTCCAGACGAAATTTGGAGGAAGTTGGAAAGTCAGTTTATGTCCAAATCCTTAACGACAAACTGTATCTGAAGCAGCGGCTGTATGGGCTGAAGATGCAGGACGATCACGATTTGGCGCAACACGTGAATGTATTCAATCAAATCGTTTCTGATCTGGCTCGGCTTGATGTGAAAATTGAGGATGAAGACAGAGCGATGATTCTGTTGTATTCGTTGCCTCCCTCTTACGAACACATGGTGACTACTCTTACATATGGGAAAGAGACTATCAATGTTGAGGAGATTACTGCAGCCTTGTTGGCTCACAACCAGCGGAAGCAGAATGCAGGGGAAAGCTCTCAAGCCGATAGCTTATATGTCAAGGGTAATCGAGATCGTGGACGGAAGCCAGAGAAGGCAGGGTCCGGGAAGCGGAATTCCAGATCCAAATCCAGGGATAAGAAGACGATTCACTGTTACAAGTGCAAGGAGGCGGGACATATGAAGCGAGACTGTCCGAAGTTGAAAAAGCAGACTGATGAGAAGCGTGATGGCTCATCCAAGTCTGTGAACGTGGTCGAGGATGATACTTCTGATTGCAGTGAGGGTGATATGCTTTCTATTTCAACGACACAATTGACGGATGCTTGGATTCTTGATTCTGGATGTTCTTATCACATCACGCCAAATAGGGAATGGTTTTCGACATACAGGCCGGTTAATTCTGGTTCGGTTTATTTGGGTGATGATCGATGTTGCAATATTGTTGGTATTGGTGATGTCAGAATTAAGATGCACGATGGCTCTGTTCGGACGTTGAGTGGTGTTCGACATATCCCAGACTTGAAGAAGAATTTGATTTCCTTGGGCACTTTGCACAAGAATGGTTTTATCCCTAAGGCTGACGAGGATAGGGAAACCATTCGGATTGTTAAAGGAGCATTGACTGTGATGAAAGGCAAGATGACTGCAGGGAATATCTACAGATTGTTAGGGAGTACCGTTGCAGGTGGAGTTCACTCTGTTGAGTCCTGTGATGATACGACAAAATTGTGGCATATGCGCCTTGCTCATCTTAGTGAACGTGGTATGGCAGAATTACACAAGAGAAACTTGTTGCATGGTGTCAAAAGCTGTAAGCTTGATTTTTGCAAGTATTGTGTTCTTGGTAAACAGACTAAAGTCCGTTTCAAGACTGCGAAGCACACAACTTAAGGGATTCTTGATTATGTGCATTCTGATGTATGGGGGCCTTCCACGACATCGTCTTTGGGTGGATCTAGGTACTATGTTACTTTTATTGATGATTTTTCACGGAAAGTTTGGGTGTATTTTTTGAAACAGAAATATGAAGTTTTTGAGAAGTTCAAGCTGTGGAAAGCTGAGGTAGAAAACCAAACAGGACGAAAAATCAAGTGTTTGCGGTCTGACAATGGTACGGAGTACACAGATTCACAGTTCCTACAATTCTGTAAGGAGCATGGGATTCAGAGGCATTTTACAGTGCGCAAGACACCACAACAGAATGGTGTTGCGGAACGAATGAACAGGTCGTTGAATGAAAGAGCCAAATGTTTGCGGTTGAATGCGGGGCTTCCCAAACACTTCTGGGCTGAGGCTGTTAACATGGCGTGTTACCTTATCAACAGATCGCCAAGGGCATCGCTGGCTGGGAAAGTTGCAGAAGAGGTATGGACTGGTCATGATGTTAGTTTTGATAACTTACGGATTTTTGGTTGTCCTGCTTATGTGCATGTACCTGCTGATGAGAGATCCAAACTTGATGCAAAATCGAAGGAGTGCATTTTTCTGGGTTACAAGAAAGGTGTCAAAGGATTCAAGTTCTGGGATCCAGTTGCGAAGAAAGTTTGATTAGTAGAGATGTCGTTTTTGATGAACAATCTATGTTGCAGCAGAAGCAAGACACGACAGTGGTAGATTTCGAGCAGTTTCCAGTTGAGAAACCAGAAACTTCTCAACCGACTTCTGGTGGTTCCACTACGGATGATTTGCAGGATTATAGTCTCGCCAGAGACAGGGTGAGACGGACGAATATAAAGCCTCCGAACAGATTGGGTTTTGAAGACTTGGTATCTTTTGCACTTACTGTTAGCAATGATGATCCAGTTACTTTTCATGATGCCGTTACTAGTCAGGAAAACGACAAGTGGATGGCAGCCATGGTTGAGGAGATGGAGTCTTTGAATCACAATCGCACATGGGAGTTAGTTCCCCTTCCTGAGGGTAAGAAGCCGATTGGTTGCAAATGGGTGTATAAGAAGAAACCAGTAGTAAGAGAAAAAGAGGGGGAGAAGTTCAAGGCTCGTTTGGTAGCGAAGGGTTTTTCACAGCAGAAAGGAGTTGATTATGATGAAATCTTTTCTCCTGTGGTCAGGCACACTTCAATCCGAGCAGTACTTGCATTGGTGGCTAGTTGGGATTTGCATTTAGAGCAGATGGATGTTAAAACTGCTTTTTTGCATGGTGATTTAGAGGAGCAGATCTACATGCGGCAACCTGAAGGTTTCACTCAACCTGGAAACGAGCATTTAGTTTGCAGATTGAAGAAATCTTTGTACGGGTTGAAACAGTCTCCGAGACAGTGGTATAAACGGTTTGACTCCTATATGATCAAGATTGGCTACAACCGATATGAGTATGATTGTTGTGTCTATGTTAAGAGCCTTGATGATGGTTCTTTTATTTTTCTATTACTGTATGTTGATGATATGTTGATTGCTGCGAAGAACATGGATGATGTTATCGGTTTGAAAACTTTATTGAGTCAGGAATTTGATATGAAAGATTTAGGTGCTGCAAAGAAAATTCTTGGAATGGAAATTTGCAGGGACAGAGACTCAAGGAAACTGCGGCTATCTCAACGGGGTTATGTTGAGAAAATGCTAGAAAGGTTTGCGATGAGCAGCGCGAAACCAGTTAGCACTCCATTGGCGAATCACTTTAAGCTCTCATCAGAACAGTGCCCTAAGACAGATAAGGAAGCTGAAAATATGGCAAAGGTTCCGTATTCTAATGCTGTTGGCTGCTTGATGTATGCGATGGTATGTACTCGTCCTGATTTAGCTCATGCTGTTAGTCAAGTTTGTAAGTACATGTCTAAACCTGGTAAACAACATTGGGATGCAGTCAAGTGGCTCTTTCGGTACTTAAAGGGTACTGTGGGACATGGAATTGTTTTTGGGAGTCAGCGGGATAATCCTTTGGTTGTAGGATATGTGGATTCAGATTATGCAGGTGACTTGGATAATAGAAGATCTACGACAGGGTATGTGTTTACTCTTGGTGGAGGGCCTATTTGCTGGAAGTCTACTGTTCAATCTGTCGTGGCACTATCTACAACTGAAGCTGAATACATGGCAGCGGCTGAAGCTGCAAAAGAAGCTTTATGGCTTACTGGTTTAGTGAAGGAGTTGGGTGTTCAACAAGGTGGAGTTCAGTTGCTTTGTGATAATCAAAGTGCTATTCACTTGGCTAAGAATCAGGTGTATCGTGCTAGAACTAAACATATTGATGTAAGGTTCCACAAGATCAGAGAGTTGGTTGCATCTGGAGAGGTTTTGTTTCAGAAGGTACATACTGATGAGAATGCCGCTGATATGTTCACCAAGCCAGTTACGACAGACAAGTTCAAGCATTGCTTGGACTTGTTGAATGTTTCGAGTTGTTAAAGAAGCAAGGTAACCCAACCCACATTGAAGTTTCCAAGGGGCAGGATATTCGCTAAGGTGGAGATTTGTTAGGTATGGCTCATAAATATACCAGTAAAGAGGACAGGGTTGATTTTGTAATTATGTACCAGGGTTTTCTATTATAAATAGAGATGTAACCTAGACCTAAAATATCATTGAATAAAATTCTAGCGCCGCCTAGGCACCGAGGACGTAAGCACATTGTCGAACCTCGTAAAATTCTCGTGTTCTTTCGTTTTCTTTACCCGTTTTCGTCAACACTCATGTTTCCCTTGCACAGAACTCCCCTCAGGACTTCCTCGCGGCCCATAACGCAGCTCGTGCGCAGGTCGAGGTCGGACCGATGACATGGGACGACACCGTTGCAGCCTATGCGCAGCGGTTCGCTAACAACTGTAGTTTGGTTCCCTCGGAAAGACCATACGGCCAGAACGTCGCACAATCCTTCCTCTCCTTGACCGCTGCAGAAGCGGTGAAGTTTTGGGTCGACGAGAAGCCGCACTACGACTACGCCGTCAATGAATGTACCGGAGGAGAGTGTTTGCATTATACGCAGGTCGTTTGGCGAAACTCGACCCGGCTTGGGTGTGCTAGTGTTCGGTGCTACGAAGGCTATTTGTTCGTTACTTGCAACTATGATCCTCCGGGGAACTACCTAGGAGAACGTCCCTATTGATATGTTAACTAGTTTATAAAAGATAGATAATCAAATGAAATCCAATTCCTAAAATAATTTGATCTATGAACAATGTTATTATGGTAAAGGTCGTAATGCTGGAAGAGTCATTTCATAACTCAAAATTAATAGGGTAAAATAATCCTTCCTCATTGAATTTTACTCTTTCTTCTATTTTACTAGCTGTATTTTTAATTTTTCTAATTCACTCATTGAATTTTCGAATTACTCTTGTTTTGATCAATCTGAATTATTTTGTTATTATTTTCGTATGATGTGACATCTTTTATTATTATTATTTAATATAAAATAATTTAAAATATAAAATAAAAATTGAAAGCGAACGTCCAATGTTCACCAGTGCTGGACTCCACCGCCAGCCGCATACGACCGTCGTAGATGGTGATCGTTCTATCCCAAATTTCATTGGACCATTCATCTTGACCCTCTGAGTCAGAATTTGGTGGTTGGTTCATTGAAAAATGTCCAAAAACATGAGAATATCAACTGAAACATTTCGGTTTCCTCGTTTTTATCACCAATTCGTGGACTCTGGAGAAAGATCCAACAAAATGGAGATTGGATTCAGGCTCAGAGTGTCAAAGCAAAGAGACCCATGAAATTTGGGATAAAACGGTCATCATCTACGATGGTAGACGACGACAGGCGATGGCGTCTAACACCAATGAATAATAGACGACAACTTTCTATTTCTATTTTATATTTTAAATTATTTTTATATTAAATAATAATAAAAACGTCATGTCATACAAAAAATAATAATAAAATAATTCAAAATGATTAAAATAGGAGTAATTAGAAAGTTCAGTGAGTAAATTAAAAAAATCGAAAGTAGTAAAATAGGAGAGAGTAAAGTTTAGTAAGGAATGATGTAATTTACCCAAATTAATATTTTGCAATCAATTATTTAATTTAGTTAAACTAAAAATAAATATTTAAATCAATTTAATGAGTGATATTTCCCTTTTTTTCTATAAGTAAATCTTAAGAGAGAGGAAAATACTTGGAATAAGGGGGAAAACGAATCAAATTAAAGAAATTTGATTCAACTATTTCAGCTTTAACTTATATAATTTATGGGTTCTATCAATTTTAAGAATAGAAATAGATTGAGGGAGTGATGGGTGTTAGCTGAAATTACTGCAAAATGAGATACTAATATTGGCATGACAATTTAAATAAATAATGAATTAGAATAAAAATCGTGTCGTGATAAACCACTCTTTTAAAATCGAATTCGTTCCGATATAATATTCTAGATGCACACATATAGACTCGTTGGATTGCAATGAATACCTAGTTAAAATAAGAAAATAATTTACCAATAGGGTTGGTTCAAGTAGTAAGTAATTTGATTCTGTTTAAGGAAGACCTCAGGTTCAAGTCCTTGCGTATGTAGAAAATCCAGGCTGGGAGACTCGGGTTGGTCCGTATTAGTCAAGGCAAAGTCTTGAAACCGGGAGGGCAAACAAAAAAAAGTAAAATAAAAATAAAGAAAATGATTTTTCTCAATATAGAAATGATATTATTAAAGGAAACATGTGCTTTACGTATCTGTTTAAGATTTCTTTACAAAACAAAAATCTGATACACCAATGTATAAGGTAAATTATTTATTTTTACGATCAAATTATTTTAATATGTTAGATATTATGCATTATTTAATCAAAGTTATATATGTTTCAAACCATAAATCTCATTTCCGAGAGACAACAGAGAAAATGGGAACCCAATTTCCACTAACTATTTGCCTTATAGCTTTGACCTTTGCTCATGTTTCCCTTGCACAGAACTCCCCTCAAGACTACCTCGGAGCCCATAACGCACCTCGTGCACAGGTCGGGGTTGGACCGATGACATGGGACGTCACCGTTGCAGCCTACGCACTGCAATATGCTAATAAAAGGATTGAGGACTGTGATTTGGTTCACTCGGGAGGACCCTACGGCGAGAACCTCGCGGAAGCCTCCTACAACATGACCGGTGCGGAAGCAGTGAAATTTTGGGTCGACGAGAAGCCTCACTACGACTACGCCGCCAATGAGTGTACCGGCAAAGAGTGTTTGCATTATACGCAGGTCGTTTGGCGAAACTCAACTCGGCTAGGGTGTGCTAGGGTTCAATGCAAGAGTGACTGGTGGTTTGTGACTTGCAACTATGATCCTCCGGGGAACTACCTTGGAGAACGTCCCTATTGATCTGCTAACTAATTTACTGATCAATCATGAAAGATAGATCATACAATTAAAATTTAACATAATGTTTAATTTTATATAGGCTTGATACAAAAAAAAAGTGTTCGAATTATGTGTCGGAAAATATTTTAGTGTTTAAATAATTTTTCGTTAAAAATAGATGTTTAATGTTTTTCTCAATTATACTTTTAGGTGCTTATAGTTTATTTTTTAATTTTTTAATAATAAAAAAATTATTTTTAATTAAAATAAAAAAATTATTTATAAAAAACTATTTTTTTACTGAAATTATAAAAATCCCTAAAAACTAAAATCTCTAATTTTAACCCTATCAATCCTCGTCGGTCATCTCTGGCCATCACCGTCATTGCTGAACGGACACCCACTCGTCGTCACCCATCCATTGATCAATCGTCATTCTTACCGTGACCAAAAATTCAAATTCCTAATTCTCAATTTCAATTTCTTAACTCAAACGGTCGCCGATCATCATTGTCATCGTCATCGTCGAACGGTTGTGTTTTGAACAGAATTATATAGTGGTTCGAATGGTGGCGGCGGTGTTGTTTGTGGATGTCAGAATCAATCGAAATCGATGAAAAATAATAACGATATCCGATAAATTTTTGAACGATTTTCCATAACAAACGGTGACATATTACATGGAAGATGAACGAAAGTTTGATCGGATCGACTGATGACATCGGCTGTTTAAAAAACACCTTACGTCTCTATTAAGTGTAAATAAAAAAAATTGTAATAATTGAGTGTGGCGTACTTGAATCTTTACTGAAATTATTCAAGTAAAATATTAATTGTTTTTTTATATCAAATCAAGCTTCTGAATTCCTTTATTTCTATTTTTTAACTCTCAATTATTTTTTTCACAATTGTGTAAAGGAAATGGTATTGTTTGTTGAGTTTTTTAGTGAAGGATTACAAGAAATAAAAATGGTAAAGAATTTATTATCTCGTAAAATTTATTTTTATCTATTTTAATTTTTTAGATTTTTTATGTTATAATCTTATTTCTTTTAAATAATAATTTATTCACAATGTCATCGTTAATTAATTATCTTATCATATCATCAGATTTTTAAGTTTTCTATTTGATTAAACTATATTATATATATATATCAAATTCGTTTAGAAAATATTTTAAAAATCATTAAAAATGATTCTTTATAATTATAATTATTTTTATTATGTTCAAAGATAAGTTGTGCAAAATTTAAAAAATTCACGACCGTACACTCATAGTGACCGCGATAACATTCGTTATGTTCGCAACAACGATAAACGTATCACGACCGAAAATGTGACCGCGAACGTTGTTTAAATCGCTTATCATCTTCATCGCCTAAAAGCTAAAAATTTTGCTTTCCATGTCATTCCTTTTAAAGGGTGGTTGTAACTTTGTTCAGGTAAAATAGGCGGTGAAGTTGAGTTTGGCATTTCAGTCAGTCGGAGTTATCTACGGAGATATCGGAACTTCACCGCTTTATGTATACGCCAGCACTTTCACCGACGGCATCAGCCACCAAGACAACCTAATTGCCGTCCTCATCATCTACTCCATAATTCTCATCCCTTTCTTTAAGTACGCGTTCGTGGTTTTGAGAGCCAAAGACAATGGTGAAGGTGGAACCTTTGCGCTGTATTCCTTGATGTGTCGGCACGTGAAAATGAGCTTGATCCCGAACCATGTAACCAACAACTGGAGGACCGAGAGCTGTCGAACTACCGGTTGGACACTCCATCGAACCAGTTCAAGCGGGCGTATAAAATCAGAGGTAAGATCGAGAACAGCTCGCTTGCCAAACTCAGTCTTTTCTTGATCACCATCCTTGGCACTTCGATGGTTGATGAGTGTTCAGAATCGTTAAGCTTTGTTCGTTATTTCTTCGGTTTTGAGGAATTATTACTGTTAAATTGGTCGTGTTATGTTTGTTTTCATGCAAGTCCTTACTTTCCAGAATTAGTGACAAAAAGGGCGAATTCTGCATTTTTTTATTATTTGGTCATGGCTAGAGACATGGGCACAACTCTGGGCACGACGCGATGTGACGTGACAATTTCTAGAAGGTCCAGTCAGCGACGGCTTCTAGAAGACTTTCTCCGCACGCCTTCTGGAAGATGGACGAGCAGAGTTGTATTAGGAGACTAGTTTAAGTTTGAATTTAAATTTAAAAACAATTATCTTTTGTATTATTTTATTATTTTCTTTGCTTATCCTTTAGGCTTTGAGAGGCTATAAATACCCACTTGGGGTAAGCCTAAACTCATCATTCGAAATGCATTTTCTTTTCTCTCTAGTTTTTATAAAAGTTTTATCTTTTCCTTTTCAAGTTCTTTTTATTTTTCTTTATTTTCAAGTTTTATTTTTATGCTAAGTATGACTTTTGTCATGCTTAGCTAAACTTTTCATAAGTCGAGAGCTGTCGCGATAATTCAATTCCAACGGGAGAATTGAAACGGTCCCTTAATATCTTCGGAATATCTCTCTCAATCTCTGCGCTTATTTTTCAAAAATCAAAACAGTTTTCAAAATCAAAGATTGACTTTGGTCAAGAGGTTGTTGCGATTAAACGTGTGGGAGGAAGATTCGGCTTATAGAAAGCAATTCGACTTCCTGGGAACACACTTGGCGAGATAGCTTCGCTAAGAGGGAATTGAGATCGGAATTGACGGTTATAGAAACAACAATCCGAGTTGGTCACCACGAACTTAAACAATATTTGATCTACGACAATAGATGTTGTTAGAATCAATTATCGAAGCCGGAATCAAAGATTGCCTTGGGTATTTGGTATATAAGATAGAGTCACAAGGATAGCCCTTGTAGACAAAGTATCCGACGTGAATCCCGAAGAGAAAATCTTATTCGATGATCTAAAGGAAATTGAATCAAAGCAAAGCTTGAGGCTACTTTTAACGTATTTATTCACAATCTTCATACTCTTATTTTTATTTAAATTGTTTTTTATTTATTTTTACCATTTTAATCTCATATTACAAACCCCTTTTTTTTACTATTTTCGCCTGGTTAGAACCATTCAAACATTAAATTATGATTTTCTAAGTCCCTGAGGATTCGACCCTTATTTCTCTATACTACGTATTTCCTTTATTTATTGATTGAGAATAAGGAATTATTTTGACATCGAAAACGACAGTTGTCAATTTGGCATCGTTGTCGGGGAACTTCGCCAAAGTTACTAATTTTTTGTTTGCTTTTGATTTATGACCAGGACTAATCCGGGCACATTAGTGGAGTACAACCCGGAGATCGAAGCTGAAGCTAGAAGAAAGAGACAACAAACAAATCCAAAAGAAGAATCAAACTCAGGTGAATTCGCTAATACAATTCCGATGGTCGAACCTACTATTCGTGAGTTAGCCACGGCACCCACTGAACAAGGACCTATGTGCATTGATTTTCCCCAAGGCGAAACTCCGTACCAGTTGAAGACCGGCCTTATTCATCTCTTCCCTACATTCCGTGGATTGCCAAACGAGAATCCACACCAACATCTCAAGGAATTTCACATGGTCTGCTCTAGCATGACACCACAGGGAGTAATCGAGGACCAAATCAAACTTAGAGCCTTTCCTTTTTCCTTAGCTGATTCGGCTAAAGAGTGGTTATTTTATCTTCCCCCTAATTCTGTAACTACATGGGCTCAAATGACTCGTAGTTTTCTTGACAGGTTTTTCTCTGTGGCAAAAGTAAGTGAACTACGCAGAAGAATACTTGGAATAAAACAGCTTGATGAAGAGTCACTCTACGACTACTGGGAGCGGTTTAAGAAGTTATGTTCTAGTTGCCCACAATATGGGTTAATCGAACAAACACTCATTCAATACTTTTATAAAGGATTATCTCCCCTGGAAATGAAGATGATCGATGCAGCCAGCGGTGGAGCCTTGGTGAATATGACTCCTACTGAGGCAAGAAACTTAATATCGACGATGGCTGCAAATTCCCAACAGTTCCGCGCAAATAATGAACCTTCTCGAAGGGTTCATGAGATAAGTTCATCTTCCTTAGAAAATAAAATAGATAAGTTAACTGAAATCGTAAACTCTCTTGTTGCAGGAAAGATAGAACAAAATCGATTATGTGGAATATATGCACTACCTGATCATCCAACAGACGGTTGTCCATTGATTCAAGACGACGCAACAGCTCAAGTCAACGCAGTCGAAAACTTTCCGGGACATCCCCAAAGAGCTTATAATCCTTATGGTAATACATACAACCCAGGATGGAGGGATCATTCGAACTTTAGTTATACGCAGAACCCGAGACCGAACCAAGGCTATCAAGTGAGACCTCTACCGCCGCAACAACCGCATAAGTCATCATTAGAATCGATTGTCGAGAGGTTAGCACTATCCCAGGAGAAATTCCAGACTCAAACTGAAGCCCACTTCCAAGAGATGGACAAGCAATTGAGCCAACTGGCTCAAACCGTGGGGAAATTAGAGTCGCAAAGGAGGCTACCATCACAAACTGAACTGAATCCAATAGATAATGTTAGCGCCATCACCCTTTGAAGTAGTACAATTGTTGAACAACCAGACCCAAAGGAAGTGAGCGCAAGATCCCGGAAGAAAGAAGAATATTCGAACTCCCAAAGGGAAGAAGAACCAGTTGACGCAGGATCCCAGAAAGAGAATGATAAAGAACAAATGGACGATCCGAAGCCATCTCCATACGAAGTGCCACCGCCTTTTCCATCAAGGTTAGTTAAAAAGGATAAAAAAATTGAGGAAAAGGAAATATTAGATGTATTTCGAAAGGTGGAAGCTAACATACCTCTCCTCGAAGTTATCCGGAAAGTTCCAAGGTATTGTCGGTTTCTGAAGAATCTCTGTACGACTAAAAGGAATCTTACCGGGGCCGAGAAAGTGGATTTAGGCGCGAACGTCTCAGCACTTTGCCAACGACCGCTTCCACCGAAGTATAAAACCAAGGTATGTTTTCAATACCTTGTAAA